CATTCGCAAATCTACAGCCTGTTACAAATTCTGCTCTAAGAAACACATGTCGAGCAAATTTATCTTACACAATCATTTTTTTAAAACAAGCCATAACAATCTGATCTTCACTTTTTCCGGTTACTACTATTGTTTTAAACCCTTTTCTATGTCATTCAGACATGATAGAGGGTTTCTCAATTTACGGCGAATGAAGCAACAAGAGCCGTTTATGTGATCACATGTATGTTGAAAAATTGAAGATATTTTAAGAATAATAACTGATACCAAGAGATGAGCGATTTCGGTTTTACTACACAACAGACAGCTCAAATATTGAACCATCATGTTTATTTTGCGCGGTTAGGCTGAGTTACAGCTTACAGAATAATAGAGAGAACACATATACAACCTATGTGTAGTACAGATTCATCAAACTGACAATTATTGCTATTCCAGCACATTCAAATCACACACACCGAGAGCTGAGCAACCACTGATAAACATTGTGATCAGAATGGCCGCTAAAAAAAAACCTGTCGAAAAAATCCCGTAGGGTAAAAACAGACAGTAAGCCTGGGTAGGAACCGGGCCCAAACTCATAAGGCTATCCTACTAGGCTAGCTAGATACATTTAAAAAAAGCTACGAAATGCGACAAATTGGTGTCGGCGTAGAATGATTACCCACGTGCAAACGCAGGGTTAAATACTCACATCTCGATACCCACAATGCACCTTCACGTTGCTAACGTGCCGCAGAAATATCTAATTTCCGGCTCATTCGTTGATCGTCAATTATTCATTGTGGACGACATACTGTGGTGCATTATGGGAAATTATCGGTCATTACCTGAGCAAAATGTTTGATAGGCAATCCAGGAGATTTAGGCAATCCCGTCTCAAAATTGTAGTTCACTATTTCCGAGTACCACTCGTCGACAGCCATGGCACACAATTCGGGTCTTGGGCCGCCGCTCTTTGAGTTAGTCAAAGACGTAGCAGCGATATTTTCTCCCCTGTTTTTTGAGTCCATTGTTGTGTTGTCGTTTCCTAGGTCGCCTTGCATAGCGAGTTTTTCGCACCATTCCGTGGCTTCCTTGGCTAACTCCTCCGACCAAGCGACAGGCTGTGCGCCATGAATCTTCCTGAGACCATTGTGAGACACAACACAGGTTTTGCCAAAGTCGTCATATCCGATGACCTCTTTAAAAACAAAATTAGCTGCTGATGCAGTAATTTCAGGACGTTACAAAAACCTCAGGGATATGGTTCAAGTTTGAATTTTGTTTCAGAATTTCCCATCATCTAAACAATTTAAATGAAAGTCATTAAAGCATCTTGTTTTCTAATCGCGGACCAGAAAAGTTTTTCAATTTGAACATCCCGAATATTAATTTCGCACTTAAATAGTGCAGAGATCACAGATATTCTTACATTTCATTTCACTTCTTTTAACGATAATGATTAATAAATTTACACCATCACAAGGTCAGGAGACGTCAAGAAACCACCAGAAGGCCACCTCGCGTATAAAAATATAAAAAATATAATTGTTGCGATTGTGCGAGAGCCTCAAATTTTGGGACCTTGGTACAGAATTGTAAATTGCTCACGATTTGTACGACACGAATGCGATTCTTAAAATAAATAAAATTCTAAAACGTCAAGATGTGACTTCTGTTGGAAACAATCCGAATGCAATAGAAAACTAGTGGTATTTAAATCAGCTTTAAATTCAAGTAACTTACCTACACAAAGAAGAGAAGCATAGAACATAAATGAAAATAAATGAAATAGGAGCATGTCAAATTTCGAACACCTTTCTAATTCTTCCGTCTTCCTTCCAATCTTCTAGTTGATTTTGTGATCTTTTCAGGCTTGAAGTTGCTTATATAGGAAACAAGTGGCATTCATTACCTAATTCTGGTGAGGTCTTTGTGTGCAAAGATGACCGGTACCACGTAATAAAACTGTACGCTTTTCAACATAGGACACTCCCATATGTTCAATAATTAAGCAGCACGCGAACTGACAAGACAAAATTGTTTATAGATGATTGAGGAGAGAAATTTCCAGCTTCATCAATAGTTTTTTTTCCTTCATTAAAAATGGTGGTGGCAAATTGTTATCTGCCACTATATGTCTTCTCCACCAATAATCATACCGTAGGCAGTGTGGGTTGTGCAAAATTTAAGGAACTTCAATGATAGGGATATCTTTAATTTCCCCCAATTTTTTCAAACCATAGACTATTAGATTGTGTTAAGACTGAGTATTCAATCCAAAAAACAGCACGTTGAAAATTCTCCACAAACACAAAAAAAAATACTTATTCCTCTGCTGAAAAGTACAAGCAACGTGGTGCTATGGAGGGAATCGTCCACAAGCAACTATTTATTCTTTCTCCTCCTATTTCGTCACATTACTACACCCACTGTTGGAAATTCACAGGGGAAAAAAAAAGGAAAAAGTACAAGCAACGTGGTGCCATGGAGGGAATCATCCACAAGCAATTCTTAATTATTACCCACGTCACATTACCACGCCCACTATTGGAAAATCATAAGGAAAAAAAACGAAAAAAGCTTCAGTTGTGGGAAACTGTTCCCAGAAGAGTTAAGGCTCCGTCGTCGAAATAAAGGAGTTAAGAAAGTTCGCGCTTCTTCAATTTATATAGCGTGAATCTTGAGCGGTAAGCTGAGGGGCATTCCGTCATAGATCGAGGGCGGGCGCTGAACATGATAAGGAAACATTATGGCCCTTATGATAATCTGTTCTTAGCTCACCACTGTTGTATAAATGATATCCCTCACGTTTTTAGGCTAATCACTTCCTTTGCTGATTGTCCCTCTTAAAATCCAATTAATATCTACAAATATCGAATTGATTCTTGAAAGCAGGAGTGTGCGTGATATATGATAAATGATATGATAAATCCTAACCACAAAAAAAAACAGCCTCCTCGACCCAATTATTAAATACTTGAAAATTTAACTCAAGTTGTTTCCTAACAATGGTCACTCTCGCAGAGTTTATGAGTGAACCAGTCCTCTCTTTTTATCCTTATTTATTAAGGTTTTCTATTGTCTTCCTCTAAAAAGGCAACATGTTTAGTAAGAATGACCAACAGTTGACGTATGTTAAATAAAAATTACAATTCTAATAAGTTTTAGTTATGTGAGTAATCCAGGGCTTGAGATATTTCACGTTCGTATAAATGTTTGGCGAGCGAGCCCTGGAACATCTTTTACCGTGACTGACAATTCCCCCCAAGTAAAACTTTCCCTTGTTATAGCATGCAAGAGGTCCACCGCTGTCGCCTTTACAAGTATCTAGAACCCTTTCTGTGTATCCTGAACATAACATTCTGTCTGTTAACCAACGGACGCTTGTTCTACATTCTACAGGAGAAAGTATGGGAACATCGATTGCTCGAAGCGTATTTTCAGCATTTTCTAAAGAGTAATCTAGTCCTGAACCGGTTACAGTGCAAATTTCGCCACCTGAAAACGACACTGTTTGATCCGGTAAACAAATTGGCCTCATATAGTCGTTGAATTCTTTAAGAGGCGTTTTCAACTTGACAAGCGCAATGTTATAATCTTTGGTGTTCTTTCTGTGCAAAGGATGTCTAATCACTTTAGAAGCCTCCGCAACCACCTCTCGACCGTCTTCGTTCTGAGCATCAAATTCACCCAAAAGGACTTTCAACTTAAACTTTGGATTTACACGAACTACAAAGCAGTGCGCAGCTGTCAAAATCCACTCTCTATCCAGTAAGGATCCGCGACAAAACACGTTTGACTTGCCCAACCGGTTCTGATATCTGAAACCTACTTGCCAAGGAAATTCTCCTGGTTTAATAGCTTCATTACCTGTTGGCCCTCTCCTTTTGACAATTCCACAGGTAATATCCTCCATAGGTTTTTGTTCTAACTCTTGATTCGTCAATTCTGAAAGCGTTTTGAGTAACAGTGAATAGAAAAGTTTTATATACTTCATCATAGATTAGAATCACACCATCGGCCATCGTGTAACTTTTCACGCTAATAAATTCTAACAAAGAACATTTAGACGGTTAAGAATATATGAAGGTCATATATTTGAACTGCGGATAAAGACATGAATGAAAGTGATCTTCGCAGTGATATGCACTACTTAGGCAGTAGTGAAAATAAGGCCTGAAAAAAATTCAGGCCTGTACGGGATTTGAACCCATGACCTCTGCGATACCGGTGCAGCGCTCTACATTAGAACCACCATCATGACCAGCTCCCAGTTGGCTTGTTAGCTCAGTTGGTAGAGCGCTGCACCGGTATCGCAGAGGTCATGGGTTCAAATCCCGTACAGGCCTGAATTTTTTTCAGGCCTTATTTTCACTACTGCCTAAGTAGTGCACATCACTGCGAAGATCACTTTCATTCATGACAAAGAACATTTACCTGTCCAAAACACAATGACTTATTCAAACAAATTTTTCTAAGGCTGGTTATATGCATGTGAAACTGTGTTCGTACCTTCATCGGTATCAAACAGCGAGCTTTCATTTTGGAAGGCTGCGTTTTCTGTCCCCCCTCGAGAAAGAAGAAAAACAAAGTTACGGTGAGCCGTGAGACATGTCGAGAAAACGATAAACCTTTTAGGCGCTCGTTTCCGTGAACACTCTTTTATCTCGTGCCCAGCAACGAATCATTAGAGCCGCAAGATTGGTCTCCTATGCGAAAAACTGTTATAGGGGTCTTTTTATCTGTTCTTGTGAGGAAGAAAACGGTCGATACTCTTCTCTGAAGCCAAGGAAGTTATCAAAAATGATCGGCACCTTCAGTGTGTGAATGGTTAACTTTGATGGCTATTTTATAACTCCCTTATCCAGTTAATTATTAATAGCACGATGTAAATGACAAAACATGTGACGATCAGGGTTGACAAATGCTTCAGCTCGTTGCATAAGACTTAAGAGAATTCCACAAGGGAGTATATCAGAAAACATACCTAATATGGTCGGCTTTGGTGTTGAGGATGGAGATGTCGAATCTCTTTCTTGTAAAATGGGTACTGCACCTGTTTTAAAAAGGATTTGAAAAAAACGGTCACAGTTGATGAAATCTGAATGACCAAGTAGCCAGACTGATGATTTACAATTCTTGAAAGGTTGGAAAAGTTTACTTTGACTTTATTGGAGGGAGCTCAAGTTCTTGATGCAAAATATTTGTTGACTGAAGTCCTCGTCTCGTTAAATTTCCGAATGCATATATGATAGAAATGCCCAAGAGTGTACTGAACGAAAATGATATCTTTTGTAAATCAAACTCTTAAAAAAAAAAAAAGAAATTTGGAGAAAATCAAAATTATCGAAAACCTCAGAATTAATCGAGGCCAGTCAGATACTAGATGCAAAGAGGGCAAAAGTTTTTTCAACTTTTTTTGCATAACAGCTACTTCTAATTGTTGTTTAGCACACTGATGATAACTATTCTATATTTGATTTTCTGTTTGAGCTCACCTTGTCAGTTCAAGGTCACTTCGATATCGCATAATGTTAATGAAAAGATTGTGCTTAAAATAGTTGCTCTTTGATCGAAATCAATACCTTTAGGAAAAACATTTTTGATGAAGGCTTGCGGTCCACCCTCTCCTCCCTTGGGGGAATATCGAGCCACTGATATAAAACCGTAAGTTTTAGAGATTGCGCTTCCAACTCCTATCTCCATCGAAGCATTCCACACAACCTGTAACGGTAAAATGTCTTTTTCTCTAACTTTTAATTAAAAGTGTTTTCACGTGTTCATTACATTTCTTCTACTCTGAATACGATCCTATACTCTTGATTGGGCAGTTTCTGTACAGTAATTGGCCAATATTAGGGCCATATCTTACAGAGCTGAATGCACGTTCAATCAGGAGCTAAGTAATGGGCTCCTGGTTCAATACGTGACGCGCTCGACTATAAAGATTGTATTTGGGTCACACAACTCAGTCAAGCACTATTGCTTCTATACAAGTTCATAACGCATAAGGTTTTATACGATTACCTAGATGAGGGGATATATTGATACGATGAAATATTTATAACCTGTGCAAAGTGTTTGATCGGCAAATCAGGCTTCTTTGCGATCCCCATTTGGTAGTTATAGTTCCCTGACTCGTCATACCAGTTCTGCACTACCTCGCTACACGTGAAACAATTTGGTTTCAAAGATCCTTGGCATTTTGGTTGAGGTGGCACAAACCAGGCTATGTTCTCACCCTCGTCTTTCTCTGCCAAAGTATCACCATCATGTTCGATCTTGTCATTTATTGCAAGATACTCCGCCCACTTCTGTGCATCCACGGCGAGTGACTCAGACCACGAGAGGGACTGGGAACCATGAAGCCTTCTCAGCTTGTTGTGTTCGGTTACACAGTCACGGTCAAACAAGTCATAAGCGAGACCTTCGACGTAAATGGTAATGCTCGACATTATTTTCGAAAATATTGGAACGTATATCTCAGCGAAATGTTTAAATGAAGTGTCTACAACGAGACTGATTTTGTATAGAAAATCTGAGCACTAATTATAGGAAACTATCTCACCGAAAAAATAATAACCCCACAGACGGAGAATATATTTTTTTTTTTTTAATTTTTTTAAAGTTTTTTCAATAAGTGGACCTTTCAACTTGCAGGTCCCGAAACATTATATTCATTATGCAAAGAAAGGATGTCAATTCCACCACAATTGATCATAAATTCACTTGACGGTAGACGTAGCGCGACCGATGCTTTCTCGAACACACAAGGCGGCTGATTATCGAGAAAGTGGAGTTTGCCATTCACATTTGTTAGCTCCTGTTGTCGCAAAACTAATGGTAATGAGTGACCTTCAGCAAAGGGATTCAGGCGAATGAACACGGTTTTATGTCAGTTTGATCTTTAAATTTCGTGCTGTGGGATGGCGGTGTTAGTGGTGTGGGAGTTTTATGTCAATGACTCCAGCAAAGTTAATGACTTCGGTGACTTCAACTTACATTTTTCATTTTCTTTCAATTCGAAGCAAGGGTTGTATTTTAGAAGCTAAAAATCGACTCTGATTTATATTTACTTTAAACCGCAGCTAGTTTAGTGCTTGCGTTTAAATACAGTTAAATCGGTCACATCAGTGCGTTTGAGCCTTACATAAACAAGGGGCGGAATCAAAGAAAAATTAATTAACTTAGTCATATTTTGAAATCATTGCTCTTACCTGTGTGGAATAATGGACAGGAAACGAAGAGCAAAATGCAACGGAACGCCATCGACAATATCATCTGCTTTTCACATCTTCATCTATAGAAAGAGGAAGAGATTGTTATTTGGCGAGCTCTGTCTCTTTCTTAGAGTGACTAATATTTATCAAACCAATTAACAGCATGTAATTTGTTATGCTCTCCATCCTCTGTTGTATTACCGTGAAACAATTTGACAAAAATTTGATTTCAACATCGAACACTTAAGACATCTTTAGATTTACGACGATCCCACGTGTAAGCAGCCCAATAAAGAAATCGAGATGTTCATAAGCTAAGTTCAATGTAGACCTAATTTTAGCTGTTTCGACCTGTTCTTACTGAGGAAGAGTGGCATTACTTTTTGGGTAAATTGGCAAAATATTGTCTGAACCATAAAACGCGGTACATTTGTTCGAGAAACTAGTTATTTTACCGATCTCTTTTACCTCAAGGATTGCAGTTTTTCATCGTTTCCCAACCGAACTCGGGTATAACAAGTTGGCCGCCATGTTTGATAATTAAGAATTTATTAGACCGTGACTATGGTGGTGCCATGAGTAGACTAAATATAGCCACCCGCTTGTAAAAGACAGAGACCTACTGCAGAAAAATAATTACGTTTTAACTTTAAGGTTAACGATCATCACAACAATTAACATTTACACCAGCATTTTTGGAACATAGCTTGATATGTGATGTACCGGCGGTACAAGTGGCATGCATGATTGAAAATTTTAATCTATAGCAATTGAAACGATCAAAATTTGGGCAAGTGAATGTGTAATTTGATTGAAACATATTTGATCGCCTCAGAGTTAAAGCGGCGTATTATTCAATGAAATAATGTGTAGATGTACATGAAGTATAAATTCATAAGTACATTTAACTTAGAAGAGACATGTCTCAGAAAATGCATGTACGGTAACATTAGCGTTGTTATTCATCAGAAACATGAAGTCAAAAACGAAGTGAATTTGCTTGTAGGCGTTGTCTCAACCAGCTAACAGCGTGTTGCCTTGACATCTGACCTGTTGCTTTTGTTGGTTGTAAGGGTATTATGTTCTGTGACCCAAAACAATGTCGCAGCCCCCGAAAAAGGATCCGTCTATCTTGTTTTTTCTCTCGTCATTCATTATTTCAGTAAGATCAGGTATTTATCTACGTTGGGTGTGATTTTGTATACTAAATAAGAAATATTATCATTAAAGTAGTTTACCTCATCATCCGAAACAAAAGTCGATTTTCAATTTTTTAATTGACAATAGTTCAAGTAGTATTTATCCATGGACCATTGTGCCGAAATCTTTGGAAAACGGCGCGACTGCATGTGTGCAACGTAGCTTAGACCATGCTTATGTGTTTCCATATTCAAAGAGCGTAAACTAGAATAAAATGGGCAAATAAATTATATCTGCACTCGTTGTAACGTATTAGTGCCTCAGTTTATTTGTACGTGCCCAGGTCCACCGTTTACTGAGTTTAATTTCTTTCTTGGTCTAAATCTCCTCAATTAGCTTTAGTACCTCTGGCACAGCTTTTCCAGCGACATGAAGACATTTTCACCTTCAGACTGAGTGCGACGGTCATTTTTCTCCACAGGTAATCTTATCGACCAGCTGTTATATATGCAGGAGTCGGCCCTCATAGAGGCTGTAAGCCAAGGGATCCCCGAGAGCTGGACTTGGCAAGCGGGACTCAGACGACCAAATGAACCAAATGTATTTTGTTGCGGCGTACTTATCGGTAGTTCTTGGGTTCTTACTGCTGGAAACTGTGTTTACGCTATGAAGGACTTCGTGCCAACCCCACTAATTGAGGTAATCATAGGTGAAAAAGACCTTCGGAACAAAGACGGAGTCGCCTCGAACGTGACTGAGGTGTTCCTTCACAATAAGTACGACCCTGATACTCAAGACTACGACTTTGCACTCTTACGGCTCGCAGATCCTGTAGAACAAGGCCCATTGATGTACATTCGTCCAGTCAAGTTGCCCCCTGAACAATTAGACTTTGAATCAGGGACGGTCTGCTTTGTGTCTGGGTACAGAGCGCCAAAACCCGGGAATAACTCTTTTACGAAACTGATAACCGTTCAAGTACCTATTGCAAGTGATTACGCATGTAAGAAAGCTTATCAGGATCGTACCATAACAGCGAGAATGTTCTGCGCAGGTTTTGAGGAAGGCAATGCTGTTGCTTGTCAGGGGGATGGGGGAGGACCGCTGGTCTGTAAGGATGGTAACAATTGGTATTTAAAAGGGCTAGTGAGCTGGGGACGAGGTTGTGCTGTCCCAGGAAGCTATGGAGTTTATGCGAATGTAAAAAAGGCTATGAAGTGGATAGAGAAAATAACGGGACTTTCAGGAGACGAACCTGAACACTGAATCTTATCGTTGCATTAACGATAATCGTGTAATAATGGGCATCAGTTAAACTTTCATGATTTTTACAACGACACATTCTCACAAGACCACACGTGCCATTGCTCAATTGTTTTAATTAAATTTCAAAAGTCGGGAAACAAACTGATTATCGCATTTGCTTCGGAACATCAATTTAACCTTTCTCCATGAGACAATTTTTCTGCGTTTTATTTGCGAAATTTTCATCAGTGTTTAAGCAAAATTCATTTTCATCAGAGTGTAAGCAAAATTCATTTTCATCAGAGTGTTTAAGCAAAATTCATGTTGTCAACTGTCGCTTGTCACCAAAGATTTGGATTTTATTGCGCACGTACAAATTTATTCAAAATCGTTATAAATCGATACGGACTATATCCTGTGTTTAAAAAATTGGCTACAGTTCTGCGCTTTTCAGTCAGTACATCATTACGTTTTACTTTGAAGAATTTGTTAAAATGACCTGCTATGTGCTGTCGTTTCTCTGAGAAACGACACGCCCCCAGTGGCAGATGCTGTAAGAAAAGATTCTAACACATAGTAGAAAGATTGAGGGTAAAAATGTTTACCTTTATGATGTTAGCCTTTGTGATCCTTTGTTCTCAGCTATTTGGAAACAACGTCTCAGGTAAGTCAACTATTGTAATGATATCACTTACCAAATCACAAGAACTGCAAATCTCTTTCAAAAATTCTTTTGAATTCCTTTCTGATAAACAGTCTCTTGAAAAATAAATTGTTGTCATATTTTAGCCAGGATTATGACCGCAGATACCGATTTTTGGGGTCATTCGCCCCCTATCATTTGATTTGTACACCAGTTTTCTAGCTATCATCTTTGCTTTCAACCTTCGATCCAATTTCTTTTATTCGTGTACTTCTCTTAAAGTTTTGACACACATGCTTTGATTCATATTTTAAGGGGCTGGTGAAAAAAACATAACTCTAACCAACATCACAAATCAAAATATGCAATGTTCTTATAAAGCAATTGACCTCATTACGCAGGAAAAGCTCGTAATTGTTGGAGGTAGGGATTAACTTTTTGTATTTTTAATTTGTATTATTACATTGTTTTTTTTTTTATTTTTCATATTTGCTTCTTTCAATCGTTATTTTAAACTACAGGCTGCTAACAGAACTTATGCCTTTTTTAGTGTCAGTAGAGCTATTATAAGTTATATTAATATTAGCTAGCGAATCAAAGAATCGGGTATCCAACAATTGTCTCAAGATCATAGAAAATTCAAGTCATTATAGCTTTTGGCTTTATGTAGAAATTGTGCTGAGCTTTGGCCATTACACTCTCTCTTGCTCAGCTTGCAACGGGACACCTCCTCATGTCCCTTGGTCACCGATGCCCTCAGTTCCTGCACCCTGCATTCAAGGTAGGTTGACTCATACTTTCGGTCAAGCACCTACCTGGGAGGGTGCGATATGGCTCTGAAATGATAAAATAAAACGCGAGAAGACTGTTGGAACCCACAAAGACGACATACTGGTAAATTGTAACCAATCACAAACTAGATAATGGTCAAATATTGGTCGCACAAAATCAGAGCTCTTTTCCACCAAAGGAAAATATCAAAAAGGAAGTCTTGGAGAATGACTCGAAGTAAAACAAGTGAGGTATCTAATGCGCAAAATAACCTGACTGACAGAATCTTTGAGGTTATGCATCTGAAGGCTGAAGGGATGACGTGAGTGTTATAACTCATTATTAATCCAAACCCCCAAAAACTGAAAACTAATGCAATCTCTGTTGGTAATTGTTCTTTCGTTGCATTCCCCGTTTTCAACTTGTTTTTTTGTGACGCAGGCAATACATCCGCACCTGCTTGGCAACTGCAGCCGAGTTCTATCGTCGGGGGAATTGAATCCAAGAGAGGTCAGTGGCCATGGCAGGCTGGACTAAAGCGATCTGCATCGGAAAAAATCTTCTGTGGTGGCTCGCTGATTGATCCTCAGTGGGTATTGACTGCTTCTCACTGTTTGTACGAAATGTCCAAATACTCCAAATCGGGAAATATACCCCACATTCAGGTATCGTTGGGAGAGTACAATCAAGGAAAAAAGGACCCAGAGGAAGTGAATGAAAACGTCGTAAAGCTCTTCCTACATGATCAATACGACCCACAAACTTTAGATTACGATGTTGCGTTGCTTAAGCTTAAAAATCCTGCAAAATTAACCAAGATTGTGAGGCCTGTCTGTCTTGTGGACGAGAAGATTGACTTTGGCCCTGGAACTAACTGTTTCGTCACAGGTTTTGGAGTCACTGAGCAGGGTGGGGAAGTGTCAGCAAAACTACAAGAAGCGAACGTACCAATAGTGGCACAACAAACTTGTCAAGCAGCATACAAAAATAAAAAGATCACACCCAGAATGCTGTGTGCAGGCTATGCTAAAGGAGGCATTGATGCGTGTCAAGGAGACAGCGGGGGACCGCTGGTTTGCATGAACAACGGCAAGTGGTTTCTAAAAGGAATCGTAAGCTGGGGAATTGGTTGTGCGAGGCCTGGTGCTTATGGTGTCTATTCAAACGTGAAAGAATTCTTACCGTGGATTCGCAATATCATAAACAGCGAGGTGGAGGACACCAACCTGACTTGATTTTAAGAAATTCATGAAAATTTGATAATTTATTTTTCCCGAAGGAAAAACTGAATTAAACTGAATATCATTCGATAAATCTTTTGTTCCTATTCATTGGCTAAGAGTGTAAAAATTGATCGTCCCTTACAGTTTCGGTGTGCTTTATTTCTAGTGATCCACGCCCCTATGTATTCAATGGTAGATTGCTTTCCTGAGGTGTTAGGTGAAGATTCCCGAGGAGTGATTTTAAGTTCAAACTCGATGATCCGTAGTTTTCCCGAGCCTTTAATCTGAATGAATATCACATTAAAAAATCACATTGAACTGCTATAACTTGAAGGATAACCTAAAATCTTAGATGCAGAATGAAATTCATTCCCCTTTTCTATCGTGTTTTAAACCCCTCTTCAGGGGTTTAATCATAAACCCCTGAAGAGTGAAGCGATTCACGAAACAGGCTTGTCGGGAAAATGTAGTTGCGTCCTTTTTTTCTCTTAACATATATATATATACATATACATATGTATAAATATAAATATATATATATATATATATATATATATATATATATATATATATAAAATGGAGGGTAATGTTTGAATGGTATTTTCTACGAGATGCCAAAGACAAATTTTTAGACAAAATACTTTCCCTTTTGAAAGAAATTGGTGGCATAAGAAAAAGGGTAGACACTAAACTTGAATGAAAAATTAGAGACGGATGCATTTATGCCTTCAAGCGCAATGAAGGCAAGTTAAAATTCTGAGTAAATTGACTCGAGACTTGATACATGCACCGCAAGTACTCGGACAGTAATTCTGATTTTATGTGTAATAGATGGTTCTGTAAATAACGAAGAATATAAACCTTTAAACGAGACACTGTGCTTTTAACTGCCTTGGTTCTTTCCCAAAAAAAAATTACATTGCCTGAACGGATCAAATAGATATAATTCTCATGTACTCTGATATCTTCCTTAATTTCATTTTCACAGAGTCAGATGACTACATGATCAATATCTCCTCGAGAGAGACATATCCCGGCTTTAATCATCAATTACTGGGTAATTAGGGGTAACCAGAAGAATTAAATAATTTTTCAGAAAATTGTTAGAATATCTTAATTGCTGACACAACTTGAGAGTTTTCTATCTTTTATGAAAGGACGTTACGGGCCACACCCAAAGTGTAGAGCCACCAGCAAGAGAGGGAGGACAATAGCTCACAACACAAATTAACAAACAGTATCTACTACGGTGGAAGACTACAGGAACTATGAATCTCCAGGTGATTTCTTTTTGGGCCTTCAGAAAGGTTTAGTGTCATTTATTAAAAATCGTATCGAGGAAGTAACCTTTGTCCTTCTTAAACAATTTCAATATTGTGTGCGATTAGGAATATCTTTGAATATTCAGTTGATCAACTTTTCATTAGCTAAATGTATACGTTTAAGTGTAACTATCTCTAAGTTTTTTTGAACAGAGACCTGAAGATTTCAATGAGGAATTCACAACAGAAACAGTCGTTCTTATTACGACTGTGAAAGTGGTATATTAGAAGGCATTAGATATAACAATAGCGTTATATTTGACAACGAAAACAACTATTTATTGTTTTTAGAACAGGGACTTTTCTGACGCAATTTTCAAGATAAGTTATGAGATTTGCAGTAACAGTACACCTGTTAAGTGAGCGACATAGGCAATCAGATGTAATATATTGAATAAGAAATACTGATTACAGGGAAAACAAATGGCAGTTCGGTCAGTTTGATAACCGAATATTTCTTATCGACTCACTTTTAATTTAGGAGATTTGCCTATCAAGGTATGGTTACCTTATGTTTACGCTCCTGGTGATCAGTCTCGCTTTGAAGGGTAAGAATAGTGTATACATCATCTAAGTACTTTTAACGAACGAATCAAATGGAAGAGAATTCAAAAGATAGTATCTGTTTAACTCTTGAAGGTAGAGTCGAAATGTTGTTGATTGACCGAATCCTGGTGATCATATAAACCGGATTTTAGGCCATTGCTACTCTAAAAGTGTTAGAATCGTTATGAAAATATTGTTTTTGCTTTCTTGTATATTTAATCTTGTTGAAATTTAAATACTTTTAAGGGCTCGCATATGATGAATTCGACAAAGAATGTGTCCGTGTCCATAATCAGTTAAGAGCACTCCACAATGCTTCTGCCCTTTGCTGGTCAGAGTCTTTGGCCGGGGAGGCCCAGAAATGGGCTGAAAACTTAGCGAATAGGGACCGTGTGGAACATGATTACCAGGATCTTATCACAAAGGGCCAAGGAGAAAACATTGCTTGGATTAATTCGACAACTGAAAAGTGTGAGGGACCTAAAAAGCCTGGCTGTGTAGGCTGCGGAGATATTGTAAAGAAGTGGTACAGCGAAGGAAAAAATTACGACTTTCAGAAAGGTGCTGCGATTGATCCAGGTCAACCTGTCCATCACTTCAATCAGGTAATGTACGAATTTAAATTGCTCAAGCTAAGGGCAAAGTACGCTAGAATGAAAATAGATTTCCGACTAACTGTTTGTGGCAAACAAAGCTAATTACATCTCTGTTAATTATGTCTTGGTTTTCAGTTTCATCAGTAGAAACCTAAGTCGAGGACGTTTCAGTATAATTATCTTACCATACAATGGGTTCGCGCTGCGATAAGTTGTTGCCCATAATTTATCAGAGCCCAGACGCACATACAGATATTTTTTCCTTGCTTTACCCAAAGGCACCATGATCTGTTAGAAGTAACCTAACGCGATTAGTGGCAGCTCAAAATGTTATTCTCAGATTTTATCAAACATAGTTTTCCACGTACATGTTACGTTATGCCACCCGGCTGCGCAAAACCGATTTGTCTGTTCACTTGAACACAATGTCCTCTAACACAGATTGTATGGAAGTCCACAACAGAACTAGGGATGGGGAGTGCTCGAAGTAATGAACATGGCTTGATAATAGTAGCACGATATAGTCCCATGGGAAGCACAGGTGGAACTGTTTCTTTTCTGCAGAACGTCGTTCCTTCAGGTGCGTTGACTAAAGATTTTCGTAGAATGATTGAGATATTACACCTGCTCTCATTGGTCGAGAAGTGCGTTGAAGTGAAAGAACATAAACCTTCTGGTGATGCATGAGAATCGTGCGTATTTTTTTTATAAATATCGTAGAGCAGTAGCATACATTTTGCGTGTTTCCATAACACTCGGCATATTGAATCTTCCACAGTTGTAGAAACCCTCAGCTACATCTCAGGTTTACTAAACTGACTGGAACTCTCCGAGCCCCTTTTTAGTTAAAATGTCTGCAACACGTGTAAGGACGGACATAACATTTTCGTACATATGGAAATAAACGGAAAAAGACTATTAAGTTTGGATAGATAGATGATAAATAAATGGGCAAATAATTAATCGATGAACGATTCGGTTTCGAAATGTCTGTTATAATCCGATAAGTTGGTTAAACCTAAATAACTTCGAAGACAGGAAGAATATGATGCATGTATGATCTATCTTTTAGGTCAAAAATCTGGAAACGTTTCTCTAGATACAACAGGTAAAAAAAAAAAACAGGCTACCATGACTACTTAGCAATCCCTCACGAGAACTAAAGGTATATGCACTGATTGCAAAATTACTACTCTAACTTACTCTCGCTATCATCCTAACAACTGCATTTCTTACATTTTATTCGTCTCTTCCGTAAAAACATTCCAAAAAAAATTGCACACAATTAATTTTTGTAGTAAATCATTGCTCCTTTCCAATCATAACAGATCAAAATACAAAGTCGAAGCCAGAAACAACTGTAATAAAGATCACCAAAGTCGTGCAAAGTAAGTAAAAATACGTCACTTGACGGCGGTGAGGACGCACTAGAGTTAATGGGAAGTACAAAATGGACGCACAAAGAATTTCAATAAACAAAACATCAATATATTTGTGTTAAATGGAGATGATACCAATGACTCGAAAAACAATCATGGCGTTTATGATGTTGGTGATGTCGTTTGTGTGTAGTTCTCGTATTTGTCTGAGGTAATGTTTATGTTATCATAACGACGTTCATTGAGATATGAAGCACGCGGGAAGTTTGGAGAGCACGAAAGATGCCTCTAGCTTCTTGAGTGCTCTCCAAACTTCCCAAGTGCTTCATATCTCAATAAACGCACAGCTGACGTATGAGCCAATTGTTTTACAACATTTTCAACCCGAAGGAAATTTTTTTCTCGAGGGATTTGTTTGCTGACGTCATGAGCGTGCAAAATAGGAATATGAAGCACGCTCGCTGAATTGAATTTGATTAGACAAATTTACTAGCTATGCTATAAAGCTGTTTAATTCATTCCTTACAAAAGTCCATTATTTAACTTGGTTCCTTGATTTTCTTAAAATTGATTTCTAGAATTTCCTCAAGGGATAAACCCAGAAGAAAATGAGACGCAAGGTAAGCTGAGTGTTTTTTTGATTTCTCGTAGTTAGCCCAAAAGTAGTTCCAGTAGAAAAACTGAGTTACAATCATGTTCTTTCTTACAAAATTGAAATGAGACGAAATATCGGTCAATGCCAGAATATACTCACACGGCGTGTGGTTTCCGTCAGGCTATTCGAGGGTGATTATTTGCATACTAAAGGGAAATAAGCCTTCTTGGTTAGAAATATGTATGAATTATCAGTGATGACTCTTAGCGCTGCCCTCCTCCCCTATGACCTCAACCTCTAAAACATTATTTGAGGGGAGAATGTAGGGAGGATGGAATTATAAGTGTTATAAGAACGCAATCTGTATAAATATTGACATTACGATCGAAATCGAAACCAACAATATACAAGCTTCATCTGCTTCAACCTTTGCTCATGCATATTTTTCCTAATTTCGACCCGCCCTCGTCACCAGCCCCTACGACAAGCTCTGGACCAAACGGGAACTCCATGACTTGCGGAATCAGAAAACCCAGCCGTATTGTTGGAGGTGAAGTCGCATATCCAGGTGCCTGGCCGTGGCAAGCAGGATTCAAACGTGATGCAAATGACATAATCTTCTGCGGAGGATCCCTAATAAACAAAGAATGGATCGCCACTGCGTCTCACTGCGTTTATGACTTACTCAGTATGAACAAAAACGCTGTGTTAGTGGTTAAGCTGGGTGAGTTTGACAAGGCGAATAAAGAGGAGCAAGAAATCTCAGTAAAAACGAAGAAAATCATCATGCATCCAAACTACAATTTTAAAACCTTGGATTACGATATCGCCCTTGTGCAACTGGAGGAACCACTTAAAGAGTTTAG